GGAGCAATACAGTAATAGCCGTTGATGAATTAATTTATTTTGTCAAATTATATTAAATTTAGAATTTCGGTTGTCATATATGATATATCTAATATTTTTTTGTTTAGCTATAAATTTCTAAAAAAAAAAAATTGTTTTCGTTAAATCTATGAAATATACATAAAAATGTTCTTAAACCTAAAATATGCGTATTCGTACAATAAATAACGARATATGCAAAATTATGCAACAAAAAATTTTGTATTTAAATTATACGTACAATGAATCGGATTTGCATCGAATCAGAATTTCAATATGCACTTTCTAGACAAATATGCAAATGCCTAAAGTTCCGGCCTTGTTAATAACTAACGCACGTGCTGGGTACACTATAAAAAAAATAGCTTCAAATCTCACGTTTTTATTTAATTAAGGCTCTATATTACATACAGTGTCCTAGTCTTAGTTTAATGGAGACTGCGTTATTTTATACTTTACTGGTGTTACTGTGTTAGTCTCATATACTCTCATCGCCCATGGCTGGTTCTAGTATACGACGAAATTTACAGTTTACAAGATGTCTTTTATAACATTCCCTATTATTATTTATTATTAATAATCATTAATCATCATTCAGCAGGCTTCAGCCACCAACTCCAGGGGTGGAGGCCGTKGAGTGCAAACCAAATTCAGACCGTGAAAAAATAATTTATCCAGACTACTGGCTTTATTAAAAATTAATTATAATTATACAAAATTTAAGTTGCTACACTTTAACAGTTTAACTTTAGGTTTCACAAACAAATAAATGTTTGACAAAAACATAATAAWTTTTTCAGGTGGGTAAATAGTTCCAAAATGAAATACAAATGCATGACTAATACCTATTGAAATATGTAAATTTTTTAATTTTATTGAAAAAAATAATGTATMATGTATGAAAATAAAAATTAATAATTTAAGCTTCTTCAGTTTTTACTTTTATTGTGTTTGTATAACTTTTAATGTTTTTTTTTTTTAATTTTAAATTTTAAATAACATCTACATCAATCTATAYAATTTATTGTACAATAGTTAGATTTGATAAAAAAAAGAATAGAATATTAAAGTGACAGCGAATATTAAGGACATTAAGGTTGGGAAAGTTATTCATTGATATACGTCTAGTGACGACTTTTTCATATGGGT